CATCTCCCTCGAAGCCTCCGAGGGTGCGCCTCCGTAGGTCCAGGCTGGGAGCGAGGCCTGCGTTCCTGCCAGGCCCGCCCCACCTGACCACTCGCTTTCTTGGGGACCTCTGTGGGGTGGGGTTGGGCTTGGGGCGCTTTTATTGTCCTGATGACTTGATGTTCTCCTCTCCCTCTCCAGCCAATAATAAGGATTTATAGAGCTGTAATTTCTCTGTGAGAAAGTCTGAAGGGGCCAGGCCTGGTACCTCTTCCGTCCATGGTAGGGCTCCCATTGGTGCCCGCCTCCCGCCATCTTGGTTCTCCACTGTCCTGTGGTCACCTGGCATTAGGCCACTGGCAGGAAAGAGGCATTGGAAAGGGGAGCGGAGGGAGGTGGCAGGGGCTGCTGGTGGGTTAGTGTCTGGAGGTGGCTTGAGGAGAACCCCAGTGGGGGCCGTCCTTGTTCTGCGCACGGACACGTGAGCCTTTTTCCGTCATTCACTTTACCCACCAGCTGGGGAGTTCATCTGAGCCAGTATCTCCCCACGGTTTGAGGGGGCCTGAGTTGGAGGGCCCTTTGTTGAGACCACCCACCAAATCTCAGCTGGGAATCAGTCTAGCAGGCTTCCTCCCCACAGCTGTGTGTCCACTCCAGTGGGTGGGTGCCCATTTTTGTTTTTTGTTGGCCCAGGAGCTCCCTCTGGAGGTCAAAGAAACGAAAACGTGCCCCCTCGTGGGCTGAGGAGCACTCTGGCTGGAGAGGGTTGGTGGTTCCCTGACTCCCCTTTGCAGGGTGCCACTGGCCGTTCAGGGCCTTCTCTCGTCCATTGTCCCCAAGTTTTGCTGTCTTAAAACCCTTGTACATTGCATTCATCAATATGTGGAGAGAGAGAGAGAGAGAGAGAGTCATTGCCTGTGATATAATTTATCAGAATCTGGTGGTGTTTCTCCTGAGCTTTTCCCTTTGTTTTATTTGGGGGGCGCATCCTGCTAGCCCCCGGGCAGTCTGGCGGCACGGCTTCTGACCTCCTCATCTCTCGATGGCCAGACAGCTCCTTTGGCAGGTACTTGGAGGGATCAAGGTTTTGGAAGAGAGACAGCCCCTTCCCCCCTCTTCACTGGCCCTTGTTGTAAAGGTTACAGGGTTCACACATATCTGATTATTATTATTATTGTTGTTGTTTTATTTTGATTTTAACCAAAGGTTATCGGAGCGGGTTGGGCTTAGACCTCAGCTGCTGAAGAGATTTCCCATTTCCATGGGGGCAGGAAGATGGCCGCCCCCGTGGGTGTCCCCAGCCTGGGGCTGAGGGAGGCGTCCAGGGCTGTGGGGCAGGCTGGGTGAGAGCCAGCCCTGGGCTGTTCCTCCAGGTGGTGGGAGGGTCACAGACCTATCTGTAGTTAGGACAGTTGGGCAGCAGTGTAAGTGTTTGGGGGACAGAGGTCACGGTGGCGGTGGTGTCCTGTGGTATTAGTTTGCTTCCCCCTTGTCCACATAGGCCATTTGTCTTCAGGGTGCTCTGATTTGTCCAGGGAGTGTGAGAATGGCTGGTGCCAGAGAGGGTCCCTGGCCTGAGCGTCCCTTCCTGCTGGCTCCCACCACCTGCTCTCCTCTGGGGAACTGAGGCTTTGGGGCAGTGGGGAGGACAGCAGACCAGGGTGTGGCCAGCTGCCTCCTGGGCAGGGCCCTGGGTCTGGCCTGGTCACTGTCCACTCCACTCAATTCTTTAGGTTGGTTGCCAGTGGGCCCTGCTTGACCCCTCGCCACGAGCCCACAGCTTGCCAAGAAAGACCCCACCGCTCACTGGGGCAGCACGTGGCCCAGTTGGGGCCAGCTGGTCCGTCCTTTGTAGAGCTGTAAATACTTCATTTTTTTGGTTTTCTATTTGGAAGCCCAGTGTCATATTGACACTGGTATCTTAGACTCGTTCTCAGATGGCCTCTCCTGGCTGCCCTCTCTCACTCTCACTCTCCTAGGTTTGGGGGTTTATAATACACAGGATGGGGGAGCAGCAGAGAAGGTAGCATTCTTTTGACTCCCTGGTTGATTGTGAAACACACACACACACACACACACACACTCCTCTGAGATTCTGAACGGTGAAAAAAATGATTGGCCAGCAAACACATTTTGCTTTCTCATGGCAATATGACTGGAGGCTCCAGAGGACCAGTCCGCCCTGGACTCCGCCCTGGAGCTCAGATGACTCGGGAGAGTCCAACTACTTTGGCTTGGGGTGGGAGGAAAGGGGGTGGGGCAGGGGATAATATAAAGGTGTAACTTAAGCTAAATGTAATCTATTTATAAAGCAAGAGACTCTCATCTATTTTTATGAAAGGAAAGGTTTTTTTAAATCTACGGTAGGCAGTTGAGGTAGCCCAGCATTTTTCTGTGGACAAGATATTCTGCATGTTGCTGCTGGATTTCATGTAATCAGTACCCCCGGCCCCTGACTTGCCTTCCTGACCTCATCCACACCCAAGAGCGCATTCAGCAGAGACGAGCCCACTCCACCCTGTTTCCTTCTCCCCTGATCCCTCTACTCTTTGGAAGTCTTGGTCAGGGGAGGCACTTTCAGAGATAGGTGGGCGGCAGGGATTTCCAAATTGAGGGGAGTGGTTGGAAAAGGGGGCATTTGGTAGGGGACAAGCTCTGCTTCAGTCAGCTCTGATTAGGTACCCCAGCTCCGATCTGCCAGTCGGCTGTGTTGGGAGAGGGCTGGGAAGCAGCAGGCTGTGGGTGGTGATGGGGCCGAGGGCTCAGGAGCACAAGACCTCCTTTGGACCTGGGTCTTCGTGGGTCCCAGATGTCAGGCAGCCGGGGCAGGTCTGGAAATTCCCTAAGACACCCAGAGAGCAGCCCTGGCTGTGCCTACTCGGGCCCAAGGCTGCAGTCCTTGTGCTCCTGCAGGGTTCTGGACGAAGGACCCAGTAGACTGCGGGTTTCCTTAGACCTGGTCCTCCTCCTGGGACAATAAGCTTGGCTCTAGATGGCCACTTTCCTAGAGTGGAGCATCTGATCTGCCGGTGGGTAAGGGGAAAGTTGGATTCTGTCTGGGAGGGAGTTTTCTTTCATGGAAGACTTCCTGGCACAGGATGGGTGCACTGCTCACCGTCTCCCTCCTTCCCAAGCTCTCAAAGACATGAAGCAAAGCTCCCTACCAAGACCCCTTTGTGGACATTTTAGCATCTACCTGGTTTTTAGTCCCGTCCTATCCCACTGTTGCTGTTCGTCTGCCAGCTGGGTCTGACATCACTGGGGAGGGGGGTTTGTACTCACTGAAAGACTACTGATCCTACCGGGAAACCAACCTGTTTACTGTACTGTTGTAAATATCATGCCCTTTATATCCTGTATATTGGCTTCTTTTAAATAAAGTGAAATGTCTTAGATTTGACTGTGCATTTATTTATTTTTAAAAATTGAGGATGCAAGTGATGATGGTGGATGGGGGGGCTGGAAGACAAAGGGCCACATAAACACTAAAGCAAACTTATTAGCCAACCCCCGATAAAATGGGGGAAATTTCACTTCACCCGTTAACAGGCACCTCACAATACGATCTTTGGTAGAAGAGGAGGGAGGAATTATGACATGTTTTACAGAAGGGGAACGGAGAGCCAGAGAGATGGCGCGGCTGTCTGCAATGGAAGTCCTGCTGACCATAAAGCTCCCCTTTCTCAAATCTTTCCAATGTGCCCACAGAAGCCTCCTTGCTGGGACTGTGGATTGAATACTGCCTCATGTTCTAGTGTATTCTTGTTAATGGCCACATTCAGGGTGACACTATTCCAACACCTGACAGGGCCTTCTCCAAGGAAGAAGAGGGAAAAAAAACACCATCAGTTAATTCCAAATTCTCTCCCCCCCACCATCTCTAAGCCACGACAGTAGTTTCCCTTCCCTTTTGAATATTTAAATGACCCGATGTGTCTTAAATGGTGTAATCTGGCGGAAAAGGAGTGATGGGGGCAGTCTGAGGTGCATGTTAACACCTCCATTTTACAGAAGAGGAAACCGAGACTCAGAGGGGCTAATGTAATTTTCCCAGTGTCATATCAAGGAATCAGAATTGGCATCGGAAGGGACTCCTAAGCAGGTTCTCGGTTTACAATGCTGCAGGAAATATAAACAGAGGATGAGAAAAGCCTTTAGAGATGGAGTAGGTTCCCACTCTCAGAAGACTTGAGTTTTAAATATGTTCGAGGGCTGAACATCAAACAACCTCAAACCCAGAAAACTGAAATTTTCATGGGGTGGGGGTGGGGCGTAGGAACAACTGGTTTTGCTGCCAGCGGCTAAGCACAGACCCGCTAGGTTTTATCTCCAGTCGATCACTAACTGCAAGGAAGCAGGGACTGGGTAACCAGCTGGCCCCGCGCCAGGCCGGGAGGAGGAGGCGGCGGCTGGGCCCGCAGCCAGGAGGCTGGAGGGAGGAGGTTCGTCCCAGGGCCTGCAGTCCGGGTAGAGGAGGGGAGCTGCCTGCGGTGTGGCCCTACGGGGTCGATGAGCCTGGCAGCGGGGTTGCAGCCCTCCACCCGCCAAGGACGTCGTGGGAGAGGCTAGCCGACCCTGAGGCACCTGTTGTGCGGGTCTGAGGGCGGGGCGCAGCAGGTCCGTCGGCCCTCAGCACGTGCCCCAACCCCGCTCTCTCATTGGCTCCCGCTGCCCCTCTCTCCCAGGCCCAAGAAGGCTGCGACGGGACCGCCCTGCTGATTGGCCCGGGGGCTTCCAAGTGTTGTTCTGATTGGTCGCTGCAGCTCACGCCCTCTCCGCCCACTGGGCCATACCATATAAAGAGGAGGAGCAAACCTCTATGTTTCAGGACTTCTCTTTCAGATTCCCGGTCCCGCGTTACAGCATGGCCTCGATCACGCAGCACAGACAGATTTTATTAGCGGAAGGTAGATCCACCTGGTGGGAACCCGAGCTCGGGCGGAGGACGGTCGGCGCGGGCGGGGCGCCCCCTCCCGCCGAGCTGGTGCGCTCCGGGCGGGGCCGCGCAGTCAGGCCGCCAGGGTTGCCCGTCCCGCGACCAGTCCGCCGCCAGCCGAGATGCTGTCACCGCTGTCTGCACTCCGTCGCGCCCTGCTGGCCCGCCCCTGGAGGGCGGCCGGGTGAGTGAGCACCCGTCCCGGCCGGCCCGGCACGGCGCCTGCTGCCCGGGGTCCCCAGGGTCGCTGGGCGGCTCCTCCGCGCTGGACGCCCACCTTGTGGGACCCTCCAAGTACCCAGCGGGGTACCCAGGGCTGCTTTCTGCCCGAGCTCGCCCCCTCCCGCACCCAGTCCTTCTCCCCACAGGATCCCTCAGTCCCCTCCCCGTCGCTCTCAGTGGTCACCTTCCTTTAGCTAAGGGATCCCCTTCCCGACGCCTGCACCCGGTGGGGGTGCTCGGGGCTGGCGTCCCAGGCTCAGAGAGTGGCCTCCTTCACTCACCCTCCTCCACGTGCTAGATATTCAAATTTTCTGGCTTCCCAGCGGGGACCACTTCTATTTTTAGCACACCACGCCCCTCTCCTCCCCACCCTAATCTCACATTCCGGACCCCCTCTGGCCTTCCGGGAGTCCTCTCCACCGGGATTTCCACCTCTCCCTCTCTCTTCCTCTTACTTTTTCAAGATAATTGTTAGAAAAGACGGACTCCTTTTCCCTGGTAGGTGGAATGATACTTATGCAGCGCTAGGCATTTGGCATGTGTCCTACTGTTAGGATTAAACAATTTAATACACGTAAAGTGCCCTGAACAGTGCGGGGCGCGGTCGTCATTATCACTTTTATTTAAACTTCTCACTACCTTGAGGCATAGGCATTATTATTCCGGAAAATGAAGAAACAGAGGAGCCGCCGTTCCAGGGTGGAGTGGCCTCTAAATCCAGATTTGCAAACCTGGGCACTAAGGAGCTGGGTTCCTGGACCATAGGTGCTCAGTGACAAATGGTCTAAGAACCCCTCCTGCCCTGAGCTGGGGGTCGCAGGAAGCTGGAACATCCACTGCCCCAGAGGGGCTTGTAGGATTCTGGTGGGGCTGAGGTATGAACTGTGTCCCCTCTGCCTCACTTTTGGAACTTGCCTCCCACTTGAGTTTGGTTTGCCTGGCCCCTAGGGCAGTAGCTGGCCATGCCCCCCTGGCTAAGTTAGTTTTAACTTAACTCTCTGAGTTAATCAGTGTCTCTCTCCCTGCCCCCATGGCATAAGTTAGTTTTAACTTCTCTGTGTGTTCTCGCAGGGAGGGGATAGGGAAGGACACAGAAGAGGACATGGGACACAGAGGCTTCTCTTCCAAACTAAGATGGGCCAGCCCCACTTGCCAGAGCCTGGACATGGTCCCATCTGCAGCCTCTCTGTACATTCTGAGACCACCCCTCTCAGAACCCAAATGGAAGCCCCAGATAGGTAGGGCCATGCAACAGATTCATGTGCTGAGTCCTGGGCGGATGCTCAGCATACTGCAGGCAGAGATAGCGGCATTTATGGTGAGTGGGCCTGACAGGGGTTTTCAGCTCAATGAGGGGGAGAGGTGTAGACATAAAGCCCTCTAGTGGAAACCAGTCTGCATTCAAAAGAAAAGCCCATAGAACTATTTGCCAAGCTGTCAAGTCCCGCAGGCCCAGCGCTGCGCTATCCCCCGTCTTACAGATGGGGAGCCGTGTGCCAGTGAGGCAGATGTAGGACCAGAGTCACAGTTGACCTTACTTCACGTTCATGCACTTAATTACGAGGCCCCTGGAAGTGAGAGGAGGGAGAATATTTTGCAACAGGTTACACAGGCTCAGGCCTCTTCTCTGCCCCACAGCTGTCCTGGCTGGATGCCGGAGAGGGTTTCTCAACCCTGCACCATGAACACTGGAGCCAGGTGATGTCATGGGGACCGCTCTGAGCCCATGGGGTGCCAGGAGCACCCCTAGTCATGACAATGTCTCCAGATGTTGCAATTTATCACCTGGGGAGCAGAATGGCCCTGGGTTACCTAGCTCAAGGACAGCTTTGGTGTTTGATCATTTGTTCATTTATTTGACACATACACAGGAGACACCTGTGGTGCGCCGTGTCTGCCTTGATAGAGAAACAATTCTAGGACATTTTTAGTGATAGCTCTCAGTGTCCTAGAAGTTAGACTCTAGTACTAAGAAAATCTGCATTTTGGGGGCTGAGGCTGTAGCTCAATGGGAAAGTGCTTGCCTCGAATGGGTGAGGCACTGGGTTCAATCCTCCGCACCACATAAATATAAATAAAAGTCCTATGTGTTCATCTACAACTAAATAAACATTAAAAAGAATAAGAAGAAGAAAATCTGCTTTTGAGGAATCAGTAGTGTTTCCCTTGCTGACTTGAATACTAGGAATTTCAGCATTTTTTTTGTTTGACACTTGTTAGTTTGTTTTCTTTTTTTATTCAGTTAGTATGTGTGTATTATAAAAAGTACAAATAGTGCAAAAAAAGAATACAAAAATTGCATGTACCTCCACACATGGAATTAAATATTGTCATCATCTTAGTGACAGTCCTTTTTTACTTTCCATGAATGCATACAGTAAAAACCATAAAAGTGGACTCATGTGCGAGGACAGGTTGATCAACCCAAATCTGAAAATGAGAAATGTCCCCAAATCTGACTCTCTGTGCTCTGATGTGACGCCATAAGAGGAAAATTCCACACCTGACCTCGTGAGACAGGCCATGTCAAAATGCAGGGGCACTAAAAACATTGTATAAAGTCACCTTCTGGCTGTGTGTATAAAGTGTATGTGAAACTAAATGAATTTTGTATTTAGACTTGGATCCCAGGCCCAAGATATCTCATAAGTATATGCAAATATTAAAAAATCTGAAAACATCTGAAATTTCTGGTCCCAAGCATTTTAGGTAAGGGAATCTTCAGCCTGTATCTTTTTTTTTTTTCCTTGAATGCTGGGGATTGGACTCGGGGCCTGGTGCGTGAAGCGCTGTACCACCAGGTCACCCCCACCTATACATTTCGTAGCTTCTTTTCCTTTTTCCCTCGGCACAGACTTGTTCCCTACTGTATGTCCCTGGGACTCCAGAGCTGGGTCTGGCACCTGCTAAGCCCTGGACAGACTGGGTGAATCCGTTCCTCAGGGAGCCCTTTTGTCCACATTTATTACAGCCAGTTTTGAGGCATCACTATGAACATGTGGCCTTTGAGGATGGACCCAGGGATGTGGCTGGTGACAGTAGCTAGCATGTGCCTTTCATGAGGATGATTTTACTCAGCTCCTGGCAGCTTACAATGTAGCGGTTACAGGTTTCACAGATGGAGCGAGGGAGGCTGATGGGAATGCAGGAAAGCTTGCCCAAGGCCTCAAGCTGGCTGGCACCAGGCCTCCCTTGCTGGCCTCCGTTCTCCGTGGACCCTGACTTCTGCCCTTTTCTCACTGGTGTCAGTAAATAAAAGACCTGGCCAGGAACCTTGTCCGCTTACAACAGGTGCCAACTGCGTCCCTTGCCTGCCCTAGTGCCAGACCTGGAGGTGATTCCTGCAGTCTGCTGGGGAGTTTGGGATTGCACCTGCCCACCACCCCTGGGCCCTGCAGGTGTCGGGGGGGGGGGGGCGTGGGGTCCCTTGACGTCCATCTACCTGCTTGATTTTCATAATTTCAGAGCCACCCAGTGTGTACCAGCTTGCTGCCTCCCGCATGGGCACAGGCTGCCTGGGCTGGCGGTCGCTCCCTGCGTTCCCTGGGCGCGCTCTGCTCTCAGACCCCCCCAGGCAGTGGCCAGCGCATTCAGGGCTCCTGGCCTGGAGGGCGCTCCCCTGACCACATGAACGGATGCAGTTTTCATGGCTTCAGCAAGGTGGCTGTCCTCTGGCCTTTCTGTGTCCTCTTCTGTGAAATGGGGACAATCCTATTAACAGCCGTGGAGCAGTGATTGCACGGATTAGTGCTGGTGCGAGCCTGGTACCTGGCGTGTGTTCTGTGAGTATTCGAGTGCAGAGTGAGGAAGCTGCAGCTGCCATACTGCCTCTGAAGTCCTTCAAGCCCCCACTCAGCAGCTGGCACTGGCCGCCCTGGGGGCACTCTGCCAACGACACCCAGGAGGTGTTGGACAGTGGCTATTGGCCTGGCTCGGATCCTGGCCACACCTCTTAAAAGCTGTGTGGCCCTGGGCAGGCTACTTGATCTTGCTGTGCTGCCTCGTGTTATCATGTGCAAAATTGGGAAAATCAGCAGCCACCTTCCAGGGTCATCTCTAGAGTGAATGGGTTCACAGGTGGAAAGCACTCTGGAGGGTGCCCGGCACCCAGAAAATTTGGCAAATGTTGCTCTGATTATCATCCCCTCCCACCAGTGGGGTGGGTGCCCTGGGTGACCGGGCAGCCCTGACCAGGAGTACCTGGGGTGGCTCAGGGCAAGGGCCTGGGACTCAGGTGTCCCCAGCCCCCTTTATTCTCACTGCTGTGGATGCAAAGCCCCTGATTGTCCCCAGGCTTGGGGAAGACACCTGCCTTCCTGGGGCCTCCAGAGCCCTGAGCCCTTTCCTTTCCTGGCAGAGGTGACAAATACAACAGAAAGACCCCTGGCTGAGCAGCAGTGCCACTGGGCAGCTGAGTGGCCTCGGGCAAGCTTCTACCCATCTTAGGGTGGCCACTTCCACAATAGGAGGTCCTCTAGCCACACCGAATGGCCAAGGGACTGACCACGGGCCTCTGAGATGTACGGGGGTGGGGGGGGACTCTAACCATGGACTGTGTCCAGAGGAAGGAAGACCTGGAGCTGTCATTTGAGCCGTGACCTTGACACTGACTGTGAGCCATGAATGAGTCCTGTAGTCTCTGAACCTCGGTTTACTCATCCTTTAAAGACAGTCATGGTGGAGCCTCCTCCCGTGTTCGTAGGGTAGTTTTCCTAAGGGGTTCCTGCCTCTCCTTGGCAGGGCTGGGCTGCAGTCAGGCCTGGTCTGGGCCTGGCGCCCGCCCCCACTCCAGGCCCCCCCTCCCGGCCCCTAATTGCAGTGATAAGGAGGATTTGCCTTATCAGGCCCCAGATAACAGTGGGGCCAGCAGGACTGAATGAGGAAGAGCCAGCTTCCTTCCCATTTCTCTCCTCTTGGCCTTGGCCACCCCGCCCCGCCCACGGGGGGGGGGACTTGTGTCCACCCCAGGTGATGTTAGCGGAAGAGCACTGGCCTGGGAGTGCTGTCCTGGGGCCCAGTGCTCAGGTTCACTGCTCTCGCAGTTTCTCTCAGGTGCTGGCTGTGGCTGGGCAGAGTGTGGGGCTTGGAGTGTCCAGTGGTGGACAGGATGGACCGGCCACTGCGTGACCCTGTGGCCTGGAGGGAGCACAGACGGTCCAGCCCTGTGGTAAGCATTGTCCCTGGTGCTTCAGGAAAAACGCAGGGCCGAGGTGATCCCACAGGTGCCCCACTGGGCCGTGCAGCCGGCACGGCAGGGACATCCCACTTCAGGAGGCCGAGAAGGCCAGGGTGACTGGACTGACTGCAGAGGGGCCAGCAGGTGCCCGGCCCAGGCCTTTAAGGCTGCTGACCTTTTATTTTAGAAGAAGGGAGAGGCCGCGAGGGGCTGTGAGCAGAGCGTGTGTCTGCCCCCCACTTCCCTCCCTCCACCAGACTGTCACCTTAAAATAGCGCCACACGATGACATTTGGCTGACCGCAGGCACATGTGCTGTGGTGGTCACCGGAGATGATGATGGAGGTGGAGGATTCCCGCCACCTGGTGATGTGGTGGCTGCGGGAGCTCGCAGGGCTGTGCGTCCCGCGTGGGTGCGGCTGGGCAGAGACCCTCGACCTGAACCAGACACTGCTACTGGGCTGTGCGCCTCTGTGCTGTGCTTTTGTTCTGGAACATTCTATATATTTGAAAAAGAGCTGATTGTAAAGTGGGCACCGTGTCACCTGCAGCAGCCTCTCACGGCTCAGGTTCACAGTGTCACTTCGTTGTAAGAGGCCAAGGCCAGGTGCGCAGGGCATGCTCTGTGACACTGGCACAACACGTAGCCCCGTTGTTAAGCGAGGAGGGCCTGCGTGGCTTTGGTTGTGTCTGGAGTGGCCACTGCAGGAGCGCGGGCGGGAGCCGATGGCGCCTTGGGCTGGGGGGTGCTCAGGGTGACTGGGGGCCGAGGCCCTCCCTCGCTCCTCCTCCTGGGGTTTCTCAGGTGGCGTCTGCTCGCCCCCAGCTCCGGCCGCAGGAAGGGTGACGTGGGCTCAGACCCTGGCGCCTGCGGGGGGGGGGGGGGGGGGCCCTGGCCGTGGGGTCCCTGGGTGAGCAGAAGCGGGTGCCCCAGGTGGTCAGGGGAACCTGAGTCAGGTTCAGACCCCGCCCCGCGCCTCCTCCCCGCAGCTCGGCAGCATGAGCTGCTCTGAGAAAGGCCCAGGTCCGTCCTGCGGCTGGCTGTCCCTGGGGCTCGGGCTGTGGGCCTGAGTGACGGGGAGCTGACGGTGCCCTGCTCCAGTGCCCTCCATGGTGTAAGTGACCGAGTGAGGGCTGTCGACCTGCCCAGAAGGCCCCTGTAGATCGTCGTAGAGGCCCACGTCCTGTGAATGACCGCCCCCACCTCACCCAGGCCCACGAAGGTGCTCCTGTGAAGTCAGGAGTGGCCCAGGAGCCGAGAGCGAAAGAGTCGGCCGCCAGTCCCTGCTTCTTCCTGGCTGCAGTTGACGGGGCTGAACTCTGAACTGGTCTCGATTGCCCAAGCCACACTCTGGCTCATGGACAGCTGGGCCAGGGCCTGGAGACTTTCTAGGCACAGAGAAAGCCTGTGATCCTGAGGTCATGGTGGGCCTCTGCCCTGTGGCAGGTGGAGGGAGGCCTGCAGGATTTCTGTTTCTGGCACTTCCTGGGACGGGCAGGGCAGGGAAGCTGGTGTCCTGTGGTCCTCGGAGTTGTGGTGGACGGGGGTGCTAACCTTACCGCACCCCGCGGTGGAGCACCCAGGCCTGTCCTGGGAATGTGATCCTTGGGAACGTCTGGGGGCCACTTTGCCTTTGAAGGCCTGGCCGGAGCGGAGGGTGAGTGCAGGCAGGGCCCCCGGGGCTGGCAGCAGTGTGCCTGGGTCTCGAGCAGGTGCTGGTGTTGGCTCCAGGTTGTGGCTTCCAGAGCCCAGGCTTTCCCACCAGCAGGGAACCCGGGGCCCAGAGAGGGCTGGAGCTGATTCAGTTACTTCGTGTCCACTGCCCGGCCTGGGAAAGAGCCGGTGCTGCCTCAGCTGTCCAGGCTGGGGGGGGGGGGGCTCCAGGGCTCAGCCCAAATCTCAGCCAGAACTTTCCAGATGGCCCAGGGGTTAGACACCGCCCTTTCTTGAGGGGCGGCTGGGGCTTGCTGCTGCCTTTCCACTCTGCCGCTGGACAGCGGTGGAAGGGGCCAGTGTGGATTTCTTTCATTTTCTTTCCTTCTTTCTTGGTTCCAGGGATAGAACTCGGGGCGCTTAACCACTGAGCCACAGCCACAGCCCCAGCCCGTTTTTATATTTTATTTAGAGACGGGGTCTCTCTGAGTTGCTTAGGGCCTCGCTGTTACTGAGGCTGGCTTTGAACTCTGGATCCTCCTGCCTCAGCCTCCCAAGCTGCTGGGATCACAGTGTGGCCACCACGCCTGGCTAGCAGTGTAGATTTCTGTGGCTTTGCATTTGTAGCTCACAGCACCATTTTAAAGACGGACAGTGACTCGCTCAGGGTCACACATCTAGTGGGAGGGGGCTGGATGGGACCTGGATCTGCCCTAGTCCCTGCTTTCTTCCTTTGGCTGGGGGAAGGGTGGCTCTGGCTATGTGTGGGGAGGGTTGGGAGAGGAGGAGGGCCTGGTGCTCAGCTACCTGTCCTGGGTGCCGCCTGCCCTTCCTTCTGCCTGGAATGTGCTGCCCAGAGCTTCCCCGCCTCCTCGGGGACACGGACCACCCTCCCCTGTTCCTCATTCCGGGCTGCCTTGGGTAATGCTGGTGTTTATTTCCTGACTGTACCCGCCACAGGGGGCCAGCGGCTGAGGCCCATCTTGGTCACCGTTGGACCTTCAAGGTCTGGAACGTGTCCAGATTTGGTCGGTGCCGAGCGCATGCACAGCCTGCCAACCGGGTCCTTCCTCGAGGACCCCCAGTCTGGCCTTTGAGGCCCCAGAGTCCTTCCCAGGGAGAAAGGACTCCTCCCCCAGCCCAGCCACCGCGTCCTCCTGCTGGGCCTCGCCGAGCCCACACAGCACCACCCTGACACAGGTGCCCCGAGGCCTGAAGGATGTGTCGTTTTCGTCTTAGCACAGACAGAAACAAGGTCACCGTGTCACCCACACATACTGGGCCCCCCTCTTGTTAAATAAGAACTCCCACTCTGCCCAGTCACAGAATTACCCCCAGCATCCACCCAGAGCCAGCCCCGGCCTCCTGGCCCTCCTCCAGATGGCCGCAGCAGCGCCAGGTCCTGCACTGCTGTGTCCCTCCTACTGAGACGCCCCGGGCGGCCTCCGACCAGCCCAGCTCAGTCCGTGCTCGTGGCTTGGGGCCGGGAGCACTGGCACCAGGGGCAGTTGTGCCTGGGTTTGTCTGGCTCGCATCCAGTCCCTCCTCATTTGGGGCTCAAACTAGTCATTTTCCTGTTAGGACTCAGTGACCTATTTCTGTGAAGGGGCTGCTGGCGAGGCCGTCTGGGCCGCGCTCATCGTCCACGTTTACAGAGGAGGACACTGGACCTGGCCCCGCAGACCCTAGAGTCCTGCTGCCCCCCGGGGCCCCCAGACATGGTGGGGGTCACAGTCATCAAGGTTTGGGGCTCCGTCAAGGAGTTCTTGGAACCCAGTCCTCTGGAACCAGACAGGGACCCCTAAGCCAGCGCTCCCTGTCACTGTGAACCGGGCTCGGGCCACCGGCCCAGATCCCCAGCCACCTCCTGGACGTCCTTGCCACCCGAGTGCTCAGCTCCACTCTGGAGAACGCGGCTCTTCCCGTTCTGGGGGAGCTCAGCTCTGGGGTGTGCTGCCTGTTCAGCTTCGGGGAAGAAGTCCCTGGGTCTGCGGGGCGGGTGGCACCTGGGGCTAGAAGGGACAGTCGCCTGTGCCGGTGCAGAATCTGTCGACCTGCCTCAGCCACAGGACATTCAAACTTGAGATGACCATGGGGTCTGGGCAGAGTGTTCTCACCGAAGAGCCTTGGTGGCGACTCGGAGGAGGAAAGTCACCTGCCTGAGGACACACAGTGGCAGGATGGGGGCTTGTGGGTCTTGGGCCCCAAGACGGGTTCTTCCCCCATCTTGCCCATGCACCTCAGGCCTCTGGGCCGGCCCAGCACCCCCGGGGAGGGGCCTGGCCGCGGTGGCCACTGCTGACTGCCTTTCTCCCCCCGCCCTGGGCGCAGGCTGCGGTGGAAGCACAGCCCCTCCCTGAAGGTGGCCAACGAGCCCATCTTGGCGTTCACGCAGGGCAGCCCCGAGCGAGAGGCTCTGCAGAAGGTAACAGGGTGGGCCCCGAGGGTGCAGGGATGGAGCGGGCAGCCCCCAGCGGCCCGAGGTGCTGCCCTGTGCCGTGGCCATCGCCACCTCTCCTGCTCATCCCCCGGAGGCAACCCGGGTCTGGCAAGGGCTGGGTCTGGAGGTAGTGGAGCTGGAACAGCAGGTGACAGCCAGGGGCCCTTTCGCAGCCTCTTTGGCCGGGTCAGAGGTCGTGTCCAGAACTAAAGTCATTTTCTAGTCAGTGGCCACAATTTAAAAACGAGGAGCTGTCACATGAATTTCAGATGTGGGTGGGAAGACCTGGCAACCTGGCTGCACCTTTCTGCAGGGTGACTGCTGCTGTCCCCGAGGGAGCATGTGCTCCCAGGTGACCCCAGTTGGCCCTTCTTGTCTGGGGTCCCCACCTGGGCAGCTCCGCGGTGTTCTCCTTATCAGGGCAGCAAGTGCCCATCCATGCCCTGTCCCTCTCGCCAGGCCTTGAAGGACCTGAAGGGCCAGACGGAAGCCATCCCGTGCGTGGTGGGGGACGAGGAGGTGTGGACGTCGGACGTGCAGTACCAGGTGTCGGTAGGTCCAGTGGGTGGGAGGCTCAGCCCTCCCTGAGTGTGTCTCCTCTGACAGCTCATGAGCATGGAGCCTGTGGTCTCTGCCATGGACAGGCCGCTGTCCCCTCCCCGATTTGAATGTGCAGAAGCAGAAGGCACCCCTGTTGTGACGGAGGAGGAGGAGGGGGAGGAGGAGGAGGAGGAGGAGGAGGAGGACTGACACCTTCCTGTATTCCTGGTGGGGCCCCCAGGGCTGGAAGCTGAGGGCAAAGCCGGGCCCTGAGCCCACCTGCTGCGAGTTTATCCACCAGAAACCGGCGTCCGCCTCAGGTGGACCAGGAAGTCTACAGGTGCCTGATCTGGAGGAGTGAGCGGCCGACCCTGAGCTGAACGGGGTGGCACGTTCTGGCTCTGTCCCAGGGGAACCACTGGACGGGACTGGAGGATATTCACCCGTGAGCCCCTGGGTCTTGCTCCATGGTATGAGGTGGGAGCCCAGCACCCACTCCTGGTGGAGAGACCCGGGGAGGGACGTGAGCGTCCCCAAGGCCCGGAGCCAGCAGCTGGCAGAGCGGGATCGCAGCACATGTCTGTCCGACCACAAGTCCTCGCTTCCCCTGAGAGGCCGTGGCCTGTGGTCCTGGCCTCACTCGTCCTGTGGCAGGTGCTTGGCAGCCTTGCAGAGGAGGGACGGGGTGGCCGGGCCACTGAAGGCCCCAGGGGGCAGGGAGAGAAGGAGCGTGTCTAGGGCCTTCCCTGGAACGTCCTCCTGGGCAGTGACCACACTCTTCCCTCTTTTTTCAGCCCTTTGACCACAGACACAAGGTAGCCAAGTTCTGCTATGCAGACAAGGTGAGTCCTGGCCACCCTGGGTCGGCGTGGCTGTCCTGGCCCTGCCACCCGTGTGGGCCCTACTCAGTCACGGCTTCTCTCTCACCTGGCGGGTGGGTGGGGGCAGCAGGCGCTGAGTGAGGCCCTGGGTGGAGGCTGACAGGGCCAGGAACTGGAACTGGAGCCAAGTGAGAGTTGCCTCAGCCCGGGCCGGGACATCCCCAGACATGCCCACTGCAGGGGGCAGACCTTGGCTTGGGGAGGAATATTCTGGAAGCCTGAGTCAGGGCAGGTGAGACAGATGGAAATTCAGGCACGGAACTGGCATCAGGGGAGCCAGCAGGAAGGGATGGGGTGGCTGAGGGAGGGGCCAGGAGCTGGGGTCTTGGGGCGTGAGGGTGGTTGGTGTGGGGCAGCAGGCCTGTGCTTCAGGCTGCAGGACCCTCTGGACGGTGGGTCCAGGGCCCACAGGTCCCAAGAACAAGGTGAGGCCTTGCTGGACCGTGAGAGGAAGCACCGAGGGACTCAGGCCGGGCCTTGGTGTGCTGGCCCCCCAGCAGGTCCTTCAGACCCCCGGCTGACAGCAGCAGGCTCTGAGCTGCAGCAGCCCAGCCAGCCAGGGGACAGGCCCTCCGCAGCTGTGGGGACCAGAGGCCAGGGGAGCCAGGGTCTTCCCTGGTGGAAAGTGGCTTCCTCTCACTCCGCCCTCCCCCGGGGCCCTTCCTGCTGCAGGAGGCGGTCCCCAACCGTCTCCTCTCTTCAGGCCCTGCTCAACAAAGCCATCGAGGCCGCCCTGGCTGCCAGGAAGGAATGGGACCTGAAGCCTGTGGCCGACCGGGCCCAGATCTTCCTGAAGGCCGCAGATATGCTGAGTGGGCCGTGCAGGGCTGAGATCCTGGCCAAGACCATGGTGGGGCAGGTGAGGGGCTGCGGCCCTGGGGCTGGGCTGGGAGGCAGGTCATCAATGGCAGATAAGCTTGTGGGTGCCGGGCCCTGTGGAGACCCACCGATGTCCTCAGGGACAAGGCTAGTGGCAGGACAGAGGAACGTAGATTATCAGACCTGTGCATCCTGCTGCAGTCCCGTCCCCTCTGTCTCCTCTGTCCCCCTCCCCACCACCCTGGGCCAGGCCTGTGGTGCTTTGCCTGGACCCGCAGCCAAGCTGCCCCTCTACCACCTCCAGGTCACTCCTGGCTTATGAACTACCAGGATCTCCCCATCACCGAGAGGAGAGTCCCCAGACCCTACCCCATGTCCAGGGCCCTCTGCCCACCTGTCAGCTCCGCTGCTGTGCCCTCCCGAAGGCTGCCCTGCTCTGGTGCAGACTGTTGGCAGAGCTTCCTGGGACAACATCCTGGGCATCTCTGCCCCTGCCTCGGGGCCCTGCTGGCACGAACTCTGGTCCAGCCTGGCCGTCCCTCCTCCCTGAGGCTTCCTGAACCTTTCAGGCCCCCAAGGGCTCATTCTTGTTTTTTTATTTTTATTTTTCATGTTGAGAGGGTCAGTTCTGCTCTGTTCTCCCAGAGCGTGCTGTCCCTCTGTCAGTCACAGCCGTGCTGTGCGGGGGCGCGCTGAGTTCCTACCCGGGCACCCTGTAGTAGTGCCGTCTTGGCGCCTCAGCCTTCCTGGGCTGTGCACCGAGTCTTGGAGGAGTCTTAGCTCCTGGTCAGCGGTTCACAGGTGCCATGCACGGGAGCTGCTGGCAGTGGTGTGCTGGGAAAGGAGCCCAGCGAAAGGGTCAGTTCTGTCCCCAGGACCCCAGTCTTAGGGAGCCAGCCCACCGGGTTCCTGAAGGCACTTCAGGGGCTGAGCCCAGCCCGCCCGTGGGCCAGGGTGTTTGACCCGCCTCTCGGCTGTCCCGTGGTGAGCGCGCCCTCTGCTGCACAGAGGTGGGACGGCAGCTCCACGTGCTGCCCTGAGAGTTGGAGTGACACACGGGTGGGCGGGAAGACAGGTGGGCACACACAGGCACGAGTGGTCACACTGGCTTCCCTCGTCATCCGGCTTAAGACTCGGGAGCTTCTCAGGAGCATCCTGCACACCTTAGCCCAGCTTCCTTGGCTTCATGTCCCTGATGGGCTGTGTACCTGCTGGTGACCCTGGGTGACAATCAGGGTCCCATCTGGAAGGACTCATTCTTGCTGCCCAGAGACCTTCCCCCAAGGCTCCCACTGGCCATTTGGAAGAATGGCAGTTGCAGGGAGTCAGTTGTGGGTCTAGAGCCCTCCACGTCCTGCACACGATGTCCCTGCCTGGTCCCCAGCTGTGCCCTCCCTCCCCCATTCGGCTGGTGTGGGCCTCTGTCTGGAAGGTTCTGGTTCTGGTGTGGTCTGTGGATCATGATCACAGATCTGGGCATCCCGCTGGATCAGAGGTGCTGGGACACTAAGATGTCACGTGCCTGGCCCCAGCAGGGGCCAGTGCTGCCGGTCCCCATCCAGCCCAGAGGTGTTGGCCACTGGGGGAGGCGGTTCAGGTGCTTGAGAAGCAGGGTCCTTTCCCTCTCTGTCCCCGGGGTCAGGCCTGGTCAGCCCACTGAGGGCTTCCCATCCTGCTGGGACCTGGCCGTGCTTCGTGAGGGAAAAGGGTCAGTGGGAGGAACATCCGTGGCCACTGAGCCCCGGCCACCCACCTTGCAGGGCAAGACTGTGATCCAGGCGGAGATCGACGCCGCTGCAGAGCTCATCGACTTCTTCCGGTTCAACGCCAAGTTTGCGGTGGAGCTGGAGGGGGAGCAGCCCCTCAGCGTGCCGCCCAGCACCAACAGCATGGTGTACCGGGGGCTGGAGGTACGGAGGTGGGCCCGAGGGGGCTGCGGGGGCGCCGTGCCAGGGCTCACAGCCCCTTCTTCCCCAGGGCTTTGTGGCGGCCATCTCACCCTTTAACTTCACGGCGATCGGAGGCAACCTGGCAGGGGCACCGGCCTTGATGGTGAGGACAGCAGGACGGCAGCACTGGTCTTGTCCCTAGTCCCAGCAGACAGGCCACCATGACCTCGGTGGCTCTGGCTGTGGGGAGCAGCACGGAGGGAGGTGGCAGCTGGGGCCGTGGCTTTGGGGTCCCTGCCTGGCTTGACTCCCAGCTTTGTCCCTGTCTGGGAGACCCCCGGGAGCCCCTGGGAGCCCCTGGACTTCTCCGAGGCAGTTTTTCAGCTGCAGAGTGGGAACGACAGGGGAGCCCGGTTGACAGCTCTGTGGGGTTGGAGTGGGAGGAGCCAGATGCCGGGCAGCTCTGGCCTGGAGCAGGGGACTCGGTGGCTGTGGGTGGTGATGAGCTCACCGAGCGCTCGCCATGTGCTGCCGTTAGATGGCCTCGTTCCCATCATGCCTCTTGTCAGTGACAAAGCTGAGACGAGACTGAGACTGACGAGGGACCAGCGGGTGGGCTCGGGCTCAGCAGGTCTCGGGGCTGGGGCCGCGCAGTCTCGGGGCCCATGGTCGTTGTTGGAGTGGAGGCAGATGTCCCCTGTGAGCTCCGGTATGACGGGGAGACATGGCCGACCCCAGGTAGCCCGGGCGGGAGGAGAACGGTGCTGTCGTAGGAGGCACCAGGCTGCTGACACCTGGGTTGAACAGGGACATCCCGTGCTCTGCACACCAGGGCACACACCCAGGCATCCATGTGCCTGTGAGGCCACACGTGCCCTGACCTGGGACACGTGCAGAGGGAGCCCGGAGCACTCGCCCGGCCGTGCCCAGAAATACCGAGAACAGACCTGCCCGGGCCAGTAGGCGCGGCTTCCCGAGGAGGGCGCCCAGCGGTGAGGGGCGGCGGGCTGGACTGGGGCTCCTTGGCAAGGGCTTCCAGAGTGCAGCTGCAGACACCTGGAGGAGCGGGGCCAGGGCAGGACATCCTGGCCAGCACAGGGCCGGGTGGTTCCAGCTGAGGGACGGCCATGCTGTGGGTGGGAGGGGACCAGGGCTGGCGGCCGTTGGCCTTGGGAGTCATGGCCCCCTCCCGCAGGGCAATGTGGTCCTGTGGAAGCCCAGCGACACGGCCATGCTGGCCAGCTATGCTGTCTACCGCGTCCTCCGGGAGGCTGGCCTGCCCCCCAACATTGTCCAGTTTGTGCCAGCCGATGGGCCCACATTTGGGGACACCGTGACCAGCTCAGAGCACCTTTGTGGCATCAACTTCACAGGCAGCGTGCCGTAAGTCCCCAGGGTGTTAGGGCACGGTATCCTCCTCCTTCACAGAGGTCACCCACTTCCTCCCCGTACGGCCCCCGTGGGCCCCTGTGCCTCCCTGTGCCTCCGGTTCTTCCCCGTCCAGCAGAGGGGGTCCCTGCCTTGCCGAGGGTCCGTAAGGATGGAACAAGGGAAGGGCCATGGGGGTGGAAGTGCAGCCTACAGTGGTCAGGCCATCGTGATTTGCACGTCCCCCGTCACTGGAGGGACCAGGGACCCCAGGGAGAGGAATTGGAGGGGGAAGGCAGGCTTCTTGGAGGAGGCGGCGCCAGGGGGAGGGGGAGGGGAGGCGCGTTTCCGGAGAGGGAGCAGCACAGAGAAGGCAGGGGCACCCCGTGTGCCCTGGGGGCGTCTGGTCCCGAGTGGCTGCAGGGGGGTGTTCTGGGGCCACCTGGTAACCCCTGGCTCCCGGGCGGCAGGCACCACCTCCACATCCACTCACGAGTGGGCTCTGCTCACGCCGAGGCTGGTAACGCGTGAAGGGAGCCCAGGTCCCGCTCGGGCCCCGGGTCACCGTCCCACCTCTTGGGGGTTTTAGTCCAGAGCCTCATGAGTCTGGAGGGGCGTCTAGACCGCGTGATGAAGGTCACAGCAGCCACCGAGGCCTTAAGCTCTGCAAGTGGCTTAAGTGACTCCACTTCCAGACTGAGGTCGCCCATGTTGGCCCTCAGGTGGGACCAGGCAGGTGGCTCTTTTCTTTGCTCCTGTAGTGCCGGCCAGCCCCGAGCAATCAGCACAGTTTCATATCAAAATCCCAACGTTGACTCTCTGAGGACCTGGACACGCTGGTCACCCTGGGCCTATGTTCCCCACATGGGCTGTTGGCTGGAGGTGGGCGGTACTGTGGTTCCTCGTGGTCCCCCGAGGCCCTGGGTCTGCATGTCCCTGGTGTGGCCCAGTGGCTTTCCTGCCTGGCCTCCTGGGCCCCTGCGTTCGCACCCTTTATCCAAGGGGACGGCTCCGGTGCTCTGCAGAGCGGTGTCTGTGGCCAGAAGCCGCAGCCTGGGTAGGAGGACTTGGGCACTCGGGGAGGGGCGATGGCCCCGAGCCAGGGCAGAGATGGCGGTGTGTAGAGCCCTGGCCACGCAGCTGGCGCCTGCCCACTGTGAGGGTGGGAGGAGGGGCAGTGGGCAGGAACCTGCGGCCTCTAGTAGCAGGGACAGTGTTCACCCAGGTGGCCCCGGGAGGCAGACGGGCCACGTGTTGGTCACTTTGACTTTGAGGAGCCCTCGGGTCATCTGGGCGAAGGTGACTGGGGGCAACCAGATGTCCTCGCCTGCAGCTTGGAGCCCTCCTGGTGTCCCCGGGACACCTCCGTGGCCTCTCACCCTCTCTGCTCGGCCTGGACTCTGCCACCCCCTTCCACGCCCCAGGCCGCTGGGTGCTGGTGGCAAAGTGAGAATTGCTGAGACGTCCCTTTTGCAGAAGTCCCGCTCTGCCCCCGCAGGCTCCCTGGGTCCCGCCTGTTAGCGGGCGGAGCGGGCCTGGCCCCCATTTGCCACGCTCTGCCGAGTAGCCGCTTAAAGGTGGGAAAGTCATAAATTAGTATCAGCCACTGTGTCGCTGGTTCCTGGGTGATTAGCATTTTTATTGTTTTCGGTGCTGAGGTTGGTCACAGCGGGAGCCTGGGGAGGAGGTGAGGGCCTCCGGTGGCAGCTGGGGGCAGGAGCCTGATTCCTCCCTCAGGACCCTTCTCAGTTTGGCCTCTGGGCCCTGGGCACTGGGCCAGGATGCCCCTCGCAGGCACAGCGGTGTGCAGCCAGCCCCACCAGGTACCTGCAGCGTCCAGAGCTCTTGACTCGATGCTGAATTAATTACGAGACTGTCCTGCCACGTGGGGTTTGCCCTCTTGTTCTTAGGCAAGGTGAAGAATTTGAGGCTCAGAGGGGTTAAGCAATGAGCCCAAGAGTGCACAGCCTCACGTGTGAGTCAGGCCTGGAACCCAGCGCCTCCTGGTTTCAAAGCCTGGGCCTTCTCTGCACCATCTTGCCACCCAGCCTCCCTTTCCCAGTGGTCACACTTGGCTCCTACCACCCCTGGGGCCCCTGCCCACCTCCTGCTGGACTGAAGATCCCCACCGCCACTGAGACCCTTGCCCACCTCTTCCCTGGGTTTTCATTCCCCTTCATCTGCCAGGTCCCACTCCCCCTCCACAGGACCCTCATCCTGAACTGGTGCCCTGACACCTACCCTGTCCTCTGCTTCCAGCACCTTCAAACACCTGTGGAAACAGGTGGCCCAGAACCTGGACCGGTACCGAACCTTCCCACGCCTGGCTGGAGGTAAGGACCCCTCCCACTCCAACCTGCAGGGCTGGGGACCTCCCTGCCATCATGAAGGGGAGGAGGAGGTGCTGGCACCAGGGATCAGGTGCTGAGCTGTCTGGGCCCCGGCACTGTCCAGTGGCGCTGTCTGTGATGAGGGGACATGTACCTGCCTCTCTAGGACGGTAGCCAGGAGCCACAGGTGACCGTCACACCTGAGCCGTGGCTCGTGTGACCGAATGGCTTGTTTTTTTCAATCGTATGTTAAATGCCCTTGCCACATGTGTCATGGTGGACCGCCCAGGTGTGCAGGGGCAGGAGCAGAGCAGAGGCCAGCCTGGGTGGTGATCTGCAGCAACGGACCCAGGCCAGTGCCTGGAGCCGGGAGGGCCGAGGGAGCAGATCGGCCTCAGGCCCGGCTCTGGTTGGCCCAGTCAGGATTTCCCCTCAGAGACGCAGCTCTGTGGTCAAGGGGTTTGGTCCCTGCTGGGTAACAAAACAGAGTGGGGTCCTCTCCTCAGGACTCGGCCGCTAATTCTCAGAGGCACCGCGTACACTTCAAGGGCAAGGTCGGCCATACAGAGTTTCCCAAACTCACTGAGCCCTCTGGAAGGTGCCGCGACCCCACAAGGGCATCTCCCTGCAGCCTCGGGACCCCGGAGGGGCGACCTGGGAAGCTACGCGGCCGCAGGGCGCGGGCAGAGCTGGGGCTGGCGGTGCAGCCGTTGGGCCCCGGGTGAGGTGGGCCATGGAGCCCATTCCTGAACCGGCAGGAGCCTTGGGGAGGGCTCAGGAGGCCAGCCCCCTCCAGGGCAGCGTTGACATTTTCGACTCCTGGTCCCCGGTCCCCCAGTGCACCCCGATCCAGCCTCTGAGATGAGCTGGGAGCCACCCGGGGGAGGACGTGGGGTCCTCTGTTCTCAGCCTCCTTCCTGCTTCCTCCCGACGGCCCCACGTGGAGCCCAGGCTCCAGCTGTCTGTCTTCTTGTCTTACAATGGGGGGTCCGACGAAGGGCCCGGGTCTCTGGGGAACTGCCACAGCCATGGGGACTGGCAGGTGGCAGGGCTCTGGCTGCTGTTGCCCTAGTGGGGACATGGTGGCCAGAGGGTGAGGTGACCCTCCAGAAGCTCCTCACACTATGACCCGGGGCTGGGTTCCCACTGTGAGGAGGGAGGAGGCCCGGCCAGTGTGGACGCTGGGGCCTCCTCTCTCCCTCGTGCCCGCATCTGGGGTGGCCTGGCTCTTGGGAGGCTTTGACCTTGGTCTTGTCTCTGCCCCTGCGTGGGACAGTCCCGTTCCTTAGCTGAGTGAGTCGGAGCTGTTGACCTCGGATGCCCTTCACCCTCCTGGGCCTCCGTTTTCTCCTCTGTGGTGCAGGAGAAGGGCCTGGCCGTGGCTCCCGGGGGGCCGTGGCCCCTGGGGTGCCATGTGTGGCTCCAGCCCTGCCCCCTCCCATGGCCACAAGGCCTGTGGACAGGCGTGGGCGGTGGCTGGGCTGCTGGGGAGCCGGGGGGCTGGGGAGCCCCCGTCATTTCCCCACCCGGCTCCCACAGAGTGCGGCGGGAAGAACTTCCACTTCGTGCACCGCTCGGCCGACGTGGACAGCGTGGTGAGCGGGACCCTGCGCTCGGCCTTCGAGTACGGCGGCCAGAAGTGCTCCGCCTGCTCTCGCCTCTACGTGCCCAGCTCCCTGTGGCCGCAGATCAAAGGGCGGCTGCTGGAGGAGCACAGCAGGATCAAAGTGGGCAACGTGAGTGGCGCTGCCCCCCACCGCGGCCCAGCGGGTGATGATGGGATTGGCAGCGCTCTCGGAGGGGGGCCCGGGGAGGGGCTCCTTCCTCCCAGGCCTGCAGGGCCTCATCTCTCCTGGGTCTCCCTCCTTTGCCTCCAGCCTGCAGAGGACTTTGGAACCTTCTTCTCCGCAGTGATTGATGCCAAGGTAAGGGGCAGGAAGCAGGCCGGGCCTGGGGGCTGAGCCCTGGACTGGCAGAGGGAAGGAGCCGGTGACCCAGCCCCACTGCTCCGAGCTGCCTGGTAGCCACACAGTCCCTCCCTGGCCTTGGAAGGAGCAGAGTCATCAGTAACCCTGGAGCCAGGTTCAGCAAGCGCCTCAAAATTGTGTATCTGTGTGTATGCACGTTCACACGCACACACAGGCAGCGCATGCACACTCACATGCACACACAGAGGCAGCGCATGCACACTCACATGCACACACAGGCAGGCCTTCTCGTGTGCATGGGCACGCCCAGGTGCAAATGCGCGCACGTACACGCGTGTCCATGAAAGCACATCTCTGCAGAGCAAGGACCCTGTAGATCTCTGCAGCCCTGTGTGGGTCCACAGAATGTACCCAGCACGTAGGACAAACACCCACATGACAGATCCGTGCACATGCACAGCCTTGAAGCCACCCGTGTGTCTCTGTTTCTGCCCGTGCATGCGTGTCTACACCACACCCGCAGCTCTGCCACGGACACACACACCCCCACGAACACACACACACCTGCTCCCAGTGTCCCCAACCACACCCTCTGTCCATGACTCGTTTCCTTGGGTGTGAGTGGGGGCTGCTGCTAGATGACCTCCCAGCCACCCTGACCCGCCCCTCCTCCACCCAGTCCTTCAGCCGAATCAGGAAGTGGCTGGAGCATGCGCGCTCCTCGCCCAGCCTGACCATCCTGGCCGGGGGCAAGTGCGACGACTCCGTGGGCTACTTCGTGGAGCCCTGCATTGTGGAGAGCAAGGACCCCCAGGAGCCTATCATGAAGGAGGTGACTGGGGCGGGCATCCTGGGCCCAGACAGGCTCCTCAAGGTCTAGACATTTGCCCGGGACAGCAGGGCTGGCAGCTGCCGGCTCTTCCCCAGCCCCTCGGCGGCAGAGGGGACTGTGAGAGGGAGTGGTGTCCCCAGACACGTCCAGCACCCACTCTTCCTGGGGGCTCCCCATTTCCGAGGGCCTAACTGTTGCTCCCAGGTGTGGGTGTGGCAGGGCGCCGGATTGGAGTGTGTGGATGGGGCGGGAAGCTGGCCTCAACTGCTGTCCTGGAGGGACCCTGGGGAAGCAGCATCTGGCCCTTTTTGTGGGGGTCGAGGTGTGGCCTCAGGAGGGGACTGGGAAGCGGGAGGCAGACCTGGGAGCCCAGGAGGGCCTGACCTGGGCCTCCCTCCCAGGAGATCTTCGGGCCTGTGCTGACGGTGTACGTCTACCCTGAGGACAAGTACCGGGAGACCCTGCAGCTGGTGGACAGCACCACCAGCTACAGCCTCACGGGGGCAGTGTTCGCCCAGGATAAGTGAGTGGCCTGCCCTGTCCCGCCTCCTGGGCTGGTGCTGGTACCAAAGCCGCCCTGCTTTCTCCCAGAGTCTGCCCCTGGCCCCGACAGGCAGGCAGGTGGCCCTCATAGCCGCAGGGCTCTTTGTCCAGATCCAGACCCCGCCAGGACTGCTGAGTTGATCTCTAGGGGCCTGGTTGGGGCAGCTTTTGACAGACAGGGATCTGGCGGTGGCCACTGAGCCCTGTGACTGCCCTGTGGCCTAGCAGAGGAGGAACAGGGACTGCCTCACCGCGGTCCCTGATGTCCGTCTTGAGGCTCTGTGTGTCCCTGCGTGGAGCTGATCCACCGTGTCTGTCTCTGAGAGTGGAGGTGGGATTGGAGTGAGAGGGCTGCTGGGGTCTGGGAGTCCCCTGCTCCTGGAGACGGGAAACTGGGCTGGACAGGTCCCTTCCTCAGGTGCCGCTGACCCTTCATGTGACCCTGTAGGGAGTGTGCTAATCCCCTTCCCAGAGGCTCAGGGACCCACTGCCTGGCCCTAGCCACCTACCGCCAGCAGCCAGCAGTGCCACTTGCCTTGTGCTTAACTGGAAAGCCCGGGTGGGCTGGGCAGGGACAGGGGGTTGGACCTGGGGCCGGCAGGGCACCTGGGCAGGTGCTCTCCTCCCTGTGCCTTGTCTCTCAGGGACGTTATCCAGGAGGCCACAAAGATGCTGAGGAATGCTGCTGGTAACTTCTACATCAATGACAAGTCCACTGGCTCCGTGGTGGGCCAGCAGCCCTTCGGGGGGGCCCGCGCCTCTGGTGAGTGGGTCCCTCTTCCAGAGCGGAGCCGAGCTCCTGGCCAGAGACTCTAGATCCTTCCTATCAAGGGTTTAGGAGACATAGGAATGGCACGGGGTGCTAGGGCTTCCTGTGGGCCGGGTGGAGGTGCCCGTTCCGTCCTCCCAGTGCCCCATGAGCCAGGCCTTCCTGCTTCCCATTCTACGGAGGAGGAGATGAGGTGTGAGGAGGTTGAGATTCTAGCTGCAGCCCCTGCATTTCCGACCAAGAGGCCAGGATCGCTAAGTGCAAAGCCCTCTACGTCACAATGGGGAAACTGAGGCCAAAGGTTACTGCCCCCTAGTGGCAGAGCCAGGGATGAATCCAGGTGTGGGCAGGCACACCTGGGCGTCCTGCAGCTTTCCTCGGCCCCGAAGCTGATGCCCACGGTCAGCACAGACCCTGCAGATCCCTGGCCGATCTCGAGTGCTCCCACATCAGACGGCAGTCACAGGTGGCAGGTCCCTGGGTCACCCACACTTCTGTCCTACTGTAGAGCAGCGTCCTCCTCAGGTTCTGTGTGATCTGCTATAACTTTTCACAGGAAAGGTCACTTACTGTTAGTGGTTTATTCCCAAGGGCGTAGATGTGTGAGTGTGTGTGTACTTATATATTTTTACACTTTGAACTTCTTCTCTTTTTAAATTTATTTTTAAACTGATACATAAAGACATAAAAGTTGAACGGTATTAGTGGGGTGCCAGTGATCAGCGGGCTCCACGTGACGTCTCGGTACACGTGCACGTTATGTAATGTTCACATGGGGTTAAGCATATCTATCTCCTCGAGCATTTTTCTTTGTTGTGGAGACGGTCAAAATCCTCCTAGCTTTGTGTGATGGATGGCGTGTGACTGCTGCCTCCCATCAGCCTGCAGCAGCCCCCCAGAGCTGCCCGTCCTGTTCAGCCCCCGCCCCCCCTCTCCCACTCCCCCAGGCTCTGGTTCCCAATTCTACTCGCAGTGTCTATGAGATCAACTTTTTAGATTCCTCATGAGACAGAGCCCGTGATGCATGTCTTTCTGTGCCTGGCAGATTTCACTGAACACAGTGTTCTCCAGTGACATCCATGTTGTCGCAAAACATAGGTCATTGGTGTGTGTGTGTGTGTGTGTGTGTGTGTGTTACTGGGAATCGAACCCAGGGGTATTTAACCACAGAGCCACATCTCCAGCCCTTTTTATCATCATTATTCTTTTATTTTTGAAACAGGGTCTCACTGAGTTGCTCAGGGCCTTGCTAAGTTACGGAGGCTGGCTTTGAACTGGTGATCCTCCTGCCTCAGCCTCCTGAGCTGCTGGATCACAGGTGCCCCAGTTAGAGTTTCTCTCTTTATGGCTGCATAGTACCCCATGGTCCGTAGTCGATGGACACTGGACACTGAGGCTCCTTCTGTTTCTTGGCTGTTGTGGACAGCTGCGGGGAACACAGGGTGCGGGTGTTGCTTCAGTAGATGGATTTCATTTCCTGAAGGGAAACGAGGCGGGCTTGCGGGTCATATGGTGGTTCTGTTTTCAGTTTTTGAGGCGCCTCGGACGGTTTTCCACAGACCTAGCTCACTCAGGTCCCTGCCAACAGTGCCTCAGGTCCCTCCGCCACCTCTGTGCCGGCGTGTCATCATTTGTGCTTTTGAGAACCGCTGTTCTTCCTGGAGTGAGGCCGCGTGACGTGGTGGCTTGGTTTGCTGTTCCTTGGTGATTAGTGTCACCAGGCATTTTTTCACGTACCTTTGGCCTCTCGTCTGCCCTCTTTTGAGCGATGTCCGTTTAGGTCAACTGCCCACTTCTAATCGGGTTTTTTTGCAGTTGAGTCTGTGAGCTCCTCGTGCGCTGCACGCTCAGCCCTGACCGTGTGTCGTGTGCAGTCCCCGCCCCCGTCCTGCCCCCTCTTTCCCGTGCTGGTCCCTCTTGCTGGGCAGAAGCTTTTTAGCCATCCCGCTGGACTGGTTTTACTTTTCTTTCCTGTGCTTTTGGGATCTTGTTTAAAAAAAAAAAAATCCTTGTCCATCCCAGTGTCCGAGAGCATCTCCCTTCCCCCAGCAGTTTCACGTTTGGGGTCTTAAAGTTAAGTCCTTAATCCATTTAGAGGGATCTCTTAGCTGGAGATGGGGTCTGGTTTGATTCTCTACTCGTGGCTGCCCAGCTCTCCCAGCACCCTTCAGTGAAGCCTGTCTTTCCCAGCGTGAGTCCTCAGGGCCTTCGTCAAAGCTCAGTTGACGGTGGGTGTGGCTGGACTTGAGGTTCCCTGCTCTGACCCATCGGTCTGTGTGTCTGTTTCTAAGCCAACACCAGGCTGTTTGGATGTCTGCGGCTTTGCAGTCTGTTTTGAAGTCAGGTAGCGTGGTGCCTCCTGCTTCACTGTCGTTATTACTTTGCTCAAGATTACATTGGCTGTTCGGGGCTTTTTGTGATTCCAGGCAAAGTTTAGGATCGTTCTTTCTTAAGGGTGCTGTGAAGAACTTATTGTGTGGCATCTGTAGATGGCTTCCGGCAGTGGAACAATTCTGATCCTCCAATCCGTGAACATGGATGTGTTCCCTTCCTTGGGTGCCCTCTTCAATTTTTTCTACTAACATCTTATAGTTTTCATTGTGGAGACCTTTCATATCTTTAGTTAATTTATTCGTAGGTATTTAAATTTTTTGTAGCTATTGTAAATGGGACCGCTCTCTTGTTCTACTTCAGATAATCTGCTCTTGGCGAATGGCAATGCTACTAGTTTTTTTTTATTGTTGATTTCATATCCTGCAATTTTATCATTGATTAGTTCTAATAGTTTTTTGGTGGAGTCTTTGGGATTTCTCCGTATGTTCTCTGTCTGCAGACGGTGACAGTTCCACTAGCTCTGTGCTGCTTTGGGTGCCCTTTATTCCTCCCCATTGCCTGAATTCTCTGGCTGGAACCAGAGCCATGTTGAATGAAGGTGCTGAACACGGGCGTCCTTGTCTTGTTCCAGATTCGGGAGAACGCCTTCGGCTTGATTTATTATGGATCGTCTTTATTATGTTGAGCTCTGTTCCTAATTTGTTCAGCACGAAGAGAAGTTAAATTCCATCATGTGTCTTTTCTGCATCTCCTGAGACGATCATGTGGTTCCACCTTCATTCTGCTGACAGGGCGTAGCGTACTCCTAGATGGGTGTCTTGAGCCATTCTTGCATCCGTGGGATGAACCTCACTTGATCATGGTGAATAATCTTTTAAATGTACTGTGGGTTCAGTTTGCTGGATTTTACTGAGGATTTTGCATCTGTGTTCCTCGAGGATAGTGGCTTGTAGTTTTCTTCTCATGTTCTGGTCTGGCTTGGACCTCAGGGTAATGTCGGTCTAAGAATGTATTCAGAGATTTCCCTGCTCTTCGATTTCTGGGAGTAATTTAAGAAGCGTTGGTGCTAGTTCTTACTTAAGCGTTGGGTAGACTCTGCAGTGGAGCTGCCTGGCCCTGGGTTTTCTTGGGAAGTGGGAGACGTTCATCACTGACTCAGTCTCATTGCTTGTTATTTCTTCGTGATGCCATCTTGGTCAGGTTGGAGGTGTGGCTTGGTGGCAGAGCACTCGCCTGGCACCCATGAGGCCCTGATTCCATCTGCAAAACCTCAACAAAACAAAACACACAGTCTGGGTAAGGCATGTGTACGTCCAGGATTTGCTTCTCCTGGGTCCTCAGTGTTTTTGACATAGAGTTGTCCATGACGCTCTTTAGTGATCCTGGCGTCATCACGGAAGGTCTGTGGGGTCCGTTGTAATGTCTCCCTTTTCCTGTCTGGTCTTGTCTGAATCTCTCTCCTTTCCTGGTCTAGCTAAGGGTTTGTCCATCCTCCCTCCCTCCCTCCCTCCCTCCCTCCCTTCCTGCCTTCCTTCTTTTCTTCAATCTCTCTCTCTCTCTTCCATTTTTTTTAAAAATCTCTGTTTAATTATTTCTCCTCTGATCTTTATTCTTCTTTCCTTCTACTGATTCTGGGTTTGGTTCTCTTTTTTCAAGTTGAGATTTAGTGGTAGATTTTTTAAAAAATATTTATTTTTTTAGTGGACACAATATCTTTATTTTTATGTGGAGCTAAGGATCGAACCCCGTGCCTCATGATGCCAGGTGAGTGCTCTACCACGGAGCACCGCCCAGCCCAGGGGTAGATTGTTGCTGTGTACCTTTCTACTTCTCTAAACGTAGGTGCTAATTGCTATGAACTCCCCTCTTAGCATAGCTTTTGCCGTATCCCTCAGGTTTGGGTGTTTTGCTTCCATTTTCATTTGTTTCAAGAGGTTCTTAAATTTCCTTCTTGATTTCTTCCTGACCCATTGGTTATTGAAGAGTAAGGTATTCGATCTCCATGTACTCGCAGGGGTTTTCTCATTTTGATTTCCAGTTTTATTGCATTGTAGTTGGAAAAGAGATACTTGATCCAGTTTTATTTTTAATGATTTCTTGTGGGCTGGGTGTGGATCAGTGGTGGAGTGCATGCTTGGCGTGCGCAAGACCCTGGGATTGATCACTAGCACCACAAAAATAAATTTTGGAGTGGTGTGTGTGTGTGTGTGAAACTAGTTTTGTGGTCTGTCATGTGATGTGTCCTAGAGAACGTTGCTGTGCTGATGAGAAGGGTCTGTGCTCTATAGTTGGGTGGAATGTCCCGTGGCTGTCATTTGGTCTAGGATGCAATTTAATTCTGTTTCTTGTCTATTTTCTGTCTGGTTGATCTATCCATTGCTGAAAGTGGGGTGTCGAACAAAGTCCTCTACTGGTATCGTACTGGAGGGTGTCTCTTTCATTGGGTCTGTTAACATTTGCTTTCTATGTTTGGGTGCTGTAATATTGGTTGCATATTTATTTAGAGTTATTTCCTCTTACTGACCTTTGTCATTATGTAATGGCCTTTCTTGTCTCTTTTTACTACTTTTTTAAAAAATATATTTTTTTAGTCATACATGGGCACAATATCTTTATTTTGTTTATTTATTTTTATGTGATGCTGAGGATCGAACCCAGTGTCTCACATATGCAAGGCAAGCGCTCTGTCACTGAGCCACAACCCCAGCCCTCTTTTTACTACTTTTATTTAAAATCTGTGTCATCTAAGTTTGGCTATTTCAGCTTCTTTGGATTCTGTCTGCAGGGGTGCCTCCTTCCATCCTGTCTCTTTCAGGCTTGTGTGTCCTCAGGGGCCAAGTGAGTTTCTTATGAGCAACATGTGGGTGGGTTTAAAAATTTTTTTAAAAATTTTTTGTAGTTGTAGATGGACAGAATGCCTTTATTTCATTTGTTTATTTTTATGAGGCGCTAAAGACCGAACCCAGTGCCTCATTTGTGCTAGACAATTCGATCTGCTACTGAGCCACACCCCAGCCGTTATTTATTTATTTGTTTATTTGGGAATCTATTCAGTCACTCTTTGCCTTTGAATTAGAGAATTTAATCCACTCACATTCAAGGTCATCATCAGTGGGTGAGGTCCTGCTGTAGTTTCTTTCTCATTCTCGCACCGGCTTCCCTTGTGATCACGTGACTCTCTAGCGGTGTGTGTTGATTCCTGGGTGTTTATTTCTGGTGACTACTACACCTTTTTTGCTTTGGGATTCCTGTGAGCCTTTAAAACTAACTTTTGATTATAACAACAATTCTGAAAGGACAGTAAGTTAATATGATCATAAGAATAAGAGAGAGGATATCGTGATGAACCCTCTGGGGCTGGGGACGTAGCACAGTGGTCGAGCGCCTGCCTAGCACGTGTGGGGCCGGGGGTTTCATCCCCAGCAAGGAAACAACCCGCCATCAACCACTGCGACCCCGAAACTCTGCCTGATGTCCTGTTGTACCTGTTTGTATTGCTTATCTCTCAACTTATTAACGTAGTTATCATTGTTTTTGAATCGTCCTTTTTTTTTTTTGGTTTTACTCTTAGAGACCCTGCAAATGGTTTCTGCCCCGTGTTTACAATACTAGAGCGTTCTGAATATGTCCGCGTACTCTTACCAGTTTTATATTTTCCAGTGTTTTCTTATTAACATCTTTTTTTTGGGGGCGGTGGGCACTGGGGATTGAGCCCAGGGTACTTAACCCCTGAGCCCCATTCCCAGCCCTTTATTTTTTATTTTGAGACAGAGCCTTGCCAAGTTGCCGAGGCTGGCCTTGAATCTGCGATCCTTCGGCCTCGGCCTCCCATGTCCCTGGGATTACAGGCGCGTGCCACTGTGCCCAGTTTAACATGAGAACCTCGTGCCAGTCCCCAGGCCTGAAAGGGATTAGGCCCCTGTGTGAATCGTTCCTTTTCTCTTGCTGCCTTAAGAAGCTTTTCTTTAACTTTCACCTTTGAGAACTGAATTATCAGATGTCTTGGCTGAGTTAACCCTGGTGACCTTTGGCCTTTCTGTACCTGGATCCCTCTAGGTTTGGGATGTGTTCTGTTACTGTGTCTTTGAAGGTGCTTTCTGCCCTCCGGTATTCTTAAGTGCTTCTTGGACCCCTAAGAAGGAGGTGACAAAGAACATGTTATCAGGGTTTTATTTTTTTCCCAGTGCCGGGAACTGAGCCCAGCACCTGGCACCTGCTAGGTAAGCACTCTACTGCTAAGCCACGACCCCAGACCTCACAGAGTCTACTTAATTTTCTAATTTATTTTTGGTACCAGGGATGGAACCCGAGGTACTGGGTACATCCCTCGTCCTTTTTATTTTTTATTTTAAGGCAGGGTCTCCCTAAGTTGCTTAGGGCCTTGCTAAATGGCTGAGGCTGGCCTCGAACTTGCCATCCTCTTGCCTCAGCCAGCGAGCGGCTGGGATTGCAGGTGTGCAGCACCGCACCTGGCACAGGGTCTGTTTTAAAGGGTTCAGGTGAACAGCCGTATGAAAGGGCAAAGGCCGGAAGGTTCCCGAGTCATGGCGTCCGTACTGCACCTTCCCGTCGGGAGGATGGGCTTGTCCATGGGAGCACTCGAACCCGGGTCTGTGGGGGCTCCATTTCGTAGTCTGGCCATGAGAGCTGCAGTCAGCCTCGTCTCCACCCAGTGACCAGGGGCTGAAGGTCCAGCCTCCGACACGTGGGTGGCTTCCCGGGCGGCTGCTCCCGGCGTGAGGGCCAGAGGCACATTCCCTCCTGTCTGCGACACACCAGGTGTCCGGCCCCGTCAGTGCCCCCTCAGCGCTCCCTGCCGCCTGCCCATCAGCCCCCGCCTCCCATGCACGTGGCCAGGTGCGCTCTGGGCCTTGGCTGCTGGGAGCGCCCTCCCCCGCCACCGCTGCCCACGCTGGTGCGCGCCCTGGCTCCTCTGCCTTCGTCTTTTCTGAGAAAACCAGAACCGTCTTCTCCACAGGAACCAACGACAAGCCGGGGGGTCCCCACTACATCCTGCGCTGGACGTCGCCCCAGGTCATCAAGGAGACGCACGCGCCCCTGGGGGACTGGCGCTACTCATATATGCAGTGACCCCCGAGCCTCTCCATCACCCGTGTCCACCCAGACCCCTGGCCAGCTCCCGTGGACAGCTCCCCTCTACAGCCATGCTGGACGCCCTCCTGGTCACTGGTGTCGGGTGCCTGGGGAGGAACAGGACACTGTCCCCTCTCCTGTCAGCCCTCCTGGAAGTCTCACTTGGCAGGAATGACCCTGGTGCCCCCCTCCCGCACTGGGCCCGAGGGCTCAGGGACATGGGGGACAGAGGGAGCAGCTCTTGGGACCCTGTGGGGAAAGGCGGCAGCTCGGGGCTCCAGGGAGCCTCACTGCTCGCCGGCTCCCGGCCTTGGCCAGGCCCCTGCAGGTGTCCCAGGGGAGGTGTGGCTCGGACGGCGCCTCTGACCTTGCCCTCCGTGGCCTGGGCCTCTCACCTTCCTGGCTGTGTCCAGAACCACCTGAGCCAGGGCCCTGCGCCCAGCCAGACGCCTTCCACGCCGTGCCTTCCTCCAGGCCGTGCTGGCCTAGGCCCGCCGCTCCTGGCCACCTGCCGCCGCCGTGGGGGAAGGGAGGGTCCTGTGTGGGCTGGTTCCACAACACCCTGTGGGGGCCTCTGTTCTTGGCTCCTTAGCCCTGCAGTCCCGCCCATAGAGACGTCCACTTCAGGGCCGTCTCCGGCCAGGAGTCCCCTGCAGAGCCCAGTCTGCCCAGGCACATGCTGATGCCCCTGCTCCCAGACGTGGCCTGTGGACCCCCTCCTTAGTGTGAGTGGCCTGGGGCTCGCCCCTCAGTGCCCGGTCGTGGGGGCAGCCAGTCGATGGCCAGGGCGACTCCTCCAGGCTGGGTGCTGGTGCTCAGGAGGAGCGACTTTCCCAGCCCAGGGCATGCTGGGACCCTGGTGTGGCTGTTCCTAAGTGCCCTGATTGACCCCGTGGCCCCCAGCCCAGGTGGACACCCCTGCCGCCTGGGCGTGGGCTCTGTGTCCCTCAGAATCTGTCTGTCTGTCTCCCATGTGGGCCGGGGGTTGCGGGAGCAGCTGGCGGAGTCCTGGTTCTACACTGTGAGGTGGGGGCGGGGTGCACCGTGCCACCCAATAAAATGCCTGTCACCTAGTCAGAGCCTGGTCTTTGTGGGGATGGCGGGGGCCGGGGACCTTCCCTTCTAAGCCTGGTAGCCTTGCCAGTGTGCAGTCGGTAGCCCCCCAGTGCCCTCAGGTGAGGGGAGGGAGGGGAGGCCCTGATATTTGCGAGTCTCTCTGGAGGTGGCAGGAACTGGAGCTGGAGGACCTGGGTTCAAATCCTGGCTCACTGCCTCCCAGTCAGGTGATCTGCAAAAGACTTGCCACCTCTCTGACCGTCTGTCTCTTCATCAGTGAAACATTAATCCCCTCACGTACACACCTACGGGTTACCAAGGGAATAAGGTGCTTAGAACAGCGCCAAAGGTAGAAAATGCTTCCCGTTACCCACTGTGGTCACAGCAACCACTGTCACTCGATGATTGGTTGATTTTATGTCAGCTTGGTTGGGCCACAGCACCCAGATGTTTGACTCAACATTCTGGATGTTTCTGTGATAGTATTTTTTAGATAAGAATAATATTTAAATTAATAGAATTTAAAAAGGAAATAGATCATCCTTCATAATGTGAGTGGACCTCCCATGATCAATGGAAGCCTTAATAGAACAAGAATGAGCAGAAGGACTTCTGCCAGCGGAGTGCCCTTGGACATGAGCGGTCTCCTCCTGGGCCTCCAGCCTGCCCGCTATGCAGATTTTAAACCTGAATCATCTGCGGTCCTATGAGCCAATCCCTTAAGATCTGTCTCCTGTGTGTGTGTGTGTGTGTGTGTGTGTGTGTGTGTGTGTTCCCAGCGCTGGGGATGAACCCGGGGTGCTCTACCACTGAGCTACATAGCCAGCCCTTTTTATTTTGAGATGGGGGTCTCTCTAAGTTGCTGAGGCTGGCCTCCAACTTACCATCCTCCTGCCTTAGCCTCCTGAGTTGTTGGGATGACAGGTGTGCGCCTGTCTTCTCTGATTTCTCTTGCTGGGTCTTTTCCTGAGGACCCCTGTCTCTGCATCTGTCTCCTCAGTCACAATTGTCTTACGAGTCGGGCTGCCACACTCCCATTTTGTAGATGACAAAACTGGGGTGCAGAGAGTCGGGGCACTTGCCAAGGGGTGTGGTGTCACTGGGAATCAGCCAGCTCTGTGTGGCCCCCAAACTACTCTCTCCCCGACCCTGACGTCCACACCTGGTGCTGACCGCCCTGGGGAGACCTGCTCAACTCAACCGATGCCGCGGAGGGGAGCACCCACGGCCCGTTGGCTGGAGCCTGGTCAGGTCCAGGCCCAGGCAGGCCAGCTGACCTCTGGAGGGACGTGTCCTGGCCCGTCTCCACCTTCAGGTAGCAGAGGAGGGCTGTTTCTAGCCCACATCTCCCTCCATAGTCCCCCATCAGGACCGTCGGCATGGAGGGTCTCAGAGCTGGGGAGGCGGGGGCCCGCGGCTCCTCGGCAGACGCATCCCGCCTCCCTCGTGGCCACCGCTGGTTTGTGTGAGACGGGGCTGGCCTCCAGACAGGGAGCCCACGCGAGGGTGTGCCCCGGGACAGAGGACGGTACCTGGGGCGCCCTGACCCCAGCAGACGGAGGGGAAGGCTGGCATTTCAGGATCAAGGGCCACATGTGACTTGCTCAGGTCACTCAGTGCAGAGCTGGCTGGGTCTTGGCAGACTGGCTCATGCAGCCTCCGTGTGGTGCTGGGGACGAACCTGGGCCTCATGTGCTAGGCCAGCGCTCTGCCCCTGAGTGGCACCCCCAGCTCGTGTAGCCTCCACGGCGACCTTACCAGGTCGGTCACTCTCAGCTTTTGTGGCAGGGTTGGTGGAGGTCAGAGGAGGAAGAACTGGCCAAGGTCATGTGACTGGTTAGTGGAAGTGGGCTTGAACCCAGGCTGGGCCCGCGGCTCCTGCTGCCTGGCCGCTGCTCCAACAGGCCCCTGGCTCCCGCCTGCTCTGCCGGGGCCATTGTATCCCCCCTACCCACCTCCGTGTCCTTTTCGCTGGGCCAAGGGGTGACAAAACTGACACTCACTCTGTTCCCGTGGCCCTCCCCCACCCTGAGCTTGGGGCTGGTGGCCTTCGAGGCCCAGCGGCTGCTCCCTGCCCGGGGAACTCGGGCCTCTTTGCATGGTCACCACCGTAAGTCCCCGTGTCCGTGGTCACCCAAGGAGTCCTTCATTTCCCTGCTGTGGCCAGGGGCCCAGCCGTAGCCTGGGTTGAAGCGGAACCATTTGACTGAGGCCGGACGTCCCTGCCACCGCTGTCCCACGGGCTTCCAGTGGTGCGTGCCCTCTAAGGAAATGAGTGGCCACCTGGGCCAGCTCCAGGCCATTGGTCTGGCCCGAGCTTCAGCGGGGGTGGGCAGAGGAGGTCAGGTGCAGGCCCGGCCCCTCTGCAGGCCCTGGCCTTCCGCAGCAGTCCTGGGCTCTGCTTAGAGGCTGTACTGAGCTGGACGCGCCATGCCCGGGCATCGAGCCCAGTGCTTCAGACACCACGTCTCATCCTCTGCACAGACCCAGGGAGCTCCGGTGTTTCCATTTTACAGACGGGGACACTGACGCCCAGGCAGGGGAACGGGTCACCAGGAGCGAATGACACATCCCACATCTCCATTTGACAAGCACTTGGCATAACCAGCCCCAGAGCCAGACAGGCTTGGGACAGGATCCCTGGCCTTGACCCTCTTCCCTGTGCCTTGACCTCCCAGCTTGGGGGTCGACATTCTCAGGAAGCTGAGGAGGGAGTGAAAAGTTTTAAAATAAGGTCCTTCCCCACAGATTTTGCATAAGGGCACTCGATGAACGAAAACTAGCAATTCCACCCTCTGTGACGTGTCTGCATCCCAGAAACACGCGTGCCAGGAAGGGGGCGATTCGGGTGTAGCTGAGAACCCACTGGCAGGGAGGTCTTCGCACTGATTTTCTTGGACCACGCCAGCCTGGGACCGAGGTGAAGATATTTAGCCCCATTTTACAGATGAGAGACTGAGGCTCAGCGAGGTAGCGAGGGACCCAGGCAGGTTTGGTGAGGCGGGAGGAGCAGTGTCCACGCCACAGCAGTCACCCGGCTGGGGAAGTCCTAGGGGAGCCCTGGGGCCAGCCTGACCTTCCGCCCTCCGAGGGGCAGGATGAGGAGACTGCTGGGGCTGAGCCTCTGAGAACTGCGGCTCAGGCCTCCCCAGCGGGCCTCCCCCAGCAGGCTGGAGAGCAGCTTGTCCCCCCGCCCTTCTCTGGGCTCCCTGCAGCCCAGCGTTGCCTGGCCGAGGGTGTGCTGGGAGAAGGGACCGGCAGGAGGGGCGGAGAAGCAAGTGGGAGAAGACAGGCAGGGTGGGGGGCCGCGGCCTTGCCCTGGGCCCAGCCCCACCCACCACCAGGGCCTGAGGGGAAGGAAGTGCAGGGCGGCCCCCTCCAGCCTGCGCCCAGGTCCTCTCCACAGCACCAGGGAGCGGATGCCAAGGCAAATGGGCACCTTCTGGACTGGTCATTTCCATGGCCCGCCCCTCCCCTTCCCTGCCTCCCCACAGATTTTGCATAAGTCTGTCGTGGCTGGCTGTCACCACGGCGACCAGTGGTCACACAGTGTGAGCCCAGGGACATCCGGTCCTGGACCAGGCTCTGACGGTTGTTGGTCCACCTCAGGGTGCAGGCCATCACTGGACGACGATCACCAACGTGGCGTCCTGAGGACACTGGATGGCATCCACTCTGTCCCCCTGCGATGGGGGCAGAGCTGGACCAGAAGCCAGGTGCGGGGCATCTTCCAGTGCTCAGAGAGAGCATCTGTCCCTGCTGACAGCCTGCTCAGGGGAACCCCATTGTTCCTCTTTATTGGAACCCCTCAGTCCCCGTGGATCCTGTAGGGTCCCATTCCAGCCTTGGGCAGCTTCAGTCCGTGTAACTGGTAGGTCGCTTTGACTGAGTCACTGCCCCTCTCTGAACCTCAGTCTCCTCTTCTGCAGGATGGGAAGATAGCGGTCATACCTTGAAAGGTAGAATAGCCTAAGGTGACAGAGCGTAGCCATGCTCAGCACAGGAGCTGGCAGGTGGGGAGCCCTCAAGACGCGTCACCGTAGAAACACCTTGAGCTCATCACAGTCGCTGGACACTGAAGCTCCCACAGCACAGATCGGCCTCCCCTCAGGAGCCTCAACTGGCCGGTGCCATCCTCCTCCTCACCAGACCTCAGGGGTGCGTGTGATTGGCCTGGGGGACCCAGGGAAGTCAGCCTGCCTTCCTGGACTTTGGGTGACTGCCCCCTGGACCTCGTCTCCCTGTCTGCGTGATGGGAGTGAGCGTCTCTGCAGCCGCCTCAGCTCTGACTTGAAATGCCCCTCGGGGCGCCTGCCCACCTGGGCTGCCCTGCAGGGGCCCTGAGGTCTGTCCCTTGTGTGTCCCTGGCTCTTATGTCATGGCCAGTCCAGCCCACTGCACCGATGGCGTCCCCAGCTCCAGAGCATCCCAGGACCGCCAGCTCCTGTGTCCTCCCAGGTGACACGTGCGTCATAGCGCCTCCCTGTGGCTGTGCCCGGAGCCGATCCTCCTCCAACACCTGTCTTGAGGGGGCACCGAGTGGGGGAAGGGCAGCACTGTCCCCTCTCCCTGGTGGCAGCACAGGTCTACGCGGGCCGGGGTCAAGGGCGGGCCCAAGATCACCAGGGAACCTGAGTCCAGGCCTCGCTGGCTGGTTTTCTGTGTTTTTTTCAGGGACAGGGATTGAACCCCCCACTCCAGCCCGCTCCTGTTGGTTTTGATTTTGAGACAGCTCTCGCGAGTTGGCCAGGCTGCCTGGAGCTTGCCATCCTCCTGCCTCCGCCTCCCAACTCGCTGGGGTCCCAGGCGCGGCCGCCACTGCTACTGATTTCAAATGCCCACGGTCTCACCTCTAGGACATCGGCCAGGAGGGGGTGTCCCCGGCTCTGGAGCTGCTGAAGACACCCAACTTCCTCAGGGCAACTTTGAGACACTTTGGGGACACAGAGGGACACTCTCAGCTGGGGAAGGAGCCAGGGGTGTCCCTGGTGGCTGTCCGTTTTGTTACAAGAAGGGACAAC